TGTTTTTTAAAACACATTGTCACGCTTTTTTTTAATTTTAACAGAGATCCCTTAAAGTACTCTGCTACTCCGCTTACGCGGAGTAGCAGGGTACTTTAAGGGATCTCTGTTAAAATTAAAAAAAAAGCGTGACATAGTGACCAAGAATCGCGCAATATTATAGGGGAGATTAATAATTAGTATTATTATAAATATTATATTTATTTCAAATATAATTTTTTAAAACTACCACATTCAATATATCTATAAGTTACATAATTCTCAAGTAAAAGAGCAGGTATCAGATGGCATATTCAGTGACCGCTTATATTAGCTTATTATTCCATATATTTAAATTGATTAATTAACTTTTTTCAAGTAATTGGTGTGTAAATAATAAATACTATTTCTGAAACTTTTTCAATTAATTCTCTTGCTAATTTAGTTCCTTTATCACTTGCAAATACTATAAATATTATTGCTAAATTATTTCTATTTATTTTCAATTGTTTTAACTCTAGCATAGCATTTATAACTTTCTCTTTGTTATTTTTATAAAGGCTGATAAACACTATATTATAAGCACGTTGATATAATTCTTCATATATTTTTGCTGCTCTAATGCCTTTATCCTATTTCAACCTTTTTAAGATTTTTTAACAATGAGTTTCTTATACTTTCAACTGAATAACTAATTAATATTTATTTTTCCTTATAGCATGAGGTAATATATATCCTAGTTGTTCATTAAATTGAGACTCTCTTAACAAAGATACCAATGATAATAGTTCAATATTCCACATAAACAAAAATTTATTTCCTCTTCCCAATTCACTTTTTGCTTTATTTGATCTCCATTATTTTCTACTAGACTTTTACAAATTAAAAGACCAAGTTTAGCACTATCTTGTGCTTTAGTTATTGACATATCATCTTGTGAAAAGCTTTCCAAGCTTGTTGTATATATTTGAAATCTATTTTATTAATATTAAATAAATTATTTAGATAACTGCATGTGCTACAATATAACATGTTACTGGCTAAAAAAAATATATTTTAACTAAATAATACCTCATAATATATAATACAAATTATAACTTAATTACTAAGTAATATCTGCATTTAAATATATTTACTAGTAAATATATTTAAATACTGTATATTTACTAGTAAATATATTTAAATATAGATATTAGCTAGTAATTAAATTATAATTTGTACTATATATTGTGAGGTATTATTTAGTTAAAATATATATATTTTTTTACCAGTGTATATAATTATAAATAATTTATACAATGTTAGTATCATAACTGATAATTCAAAAAACAAATTTTGTTTTTTAAATGCTTAACTGCAAGTTTCTTCATTTTCATCAATAAATTCTTGGGTTGCATTGAAATTGTCAATACAATTTTACTTTATTAGAAAATTTAACCCTAAAAATTAAAAATTGAATTATTATATAAGTTATAAAAAATTACTGTACTAAACAGTTTACCACATGATTTTCTAAAATATCTTGATAATTAGTAAATCTAAGAATTCTTATAAAATTGATTCAATAATGATAATAATAATTCAAAAATTTTAAAAAATTATATGATTAATATATATAATTAAATTAAGGCAATTTCTAATTGTACATAGGTGTTTGTACATGGGTATATGCCGATATCTCAAAATTTTGATTATAAAACTACTATTTGGCTTCTAACAAAAAAAATTTTTCGTGAAATTTTGGTATAAGCTATTTCCCCATCTCTATCCAAATCCACCCTTACTCTAACCTTAGGCAACATATAACTTTTCGTTCTATCGAAATTGTTTTGATTTGCATATTACACAAATTTGCAAATCAATTAATTAAATACCCATGTATATACACTACGTGTAAGATTAGATTTTTTCTTAAATTAAATTAATAATAATAATTATAAATTTAATAACAAATAAGACAAAACTTCTTTTAACCTATTTAATAAGAGATAAAGTAAATAATAATTACTAGTTTTGGCATATTTTATATAAATATATTAGATCAATCATCTTTTAGAAACACTCTTAACATATTTTGGTAGCATATCCACATTGCAATTTAAAATTAGTTCAATTCTTTTATTCTAGCATTTCCTTGAATGTATCAACTATGCTCTTAAGTAACTCTAATAAATTAAATATTCTATTTACTAGAATGACTTTTTTCTTTTAATTTTACTATATTAAAAATATTATTTACTGGGCGTAGGATCGATTTTCCAATCACGTGATTTTCCGAGCCAAAAATAGCCAATGAGAAGTCACGATCAGGTGTAACGTAAAAAAATCAAAACAAACGCTCTTTTTGAAGAAATCGAGAATATCTCAGAATTTAACCTAATTAACCCATAAGTAGCTGCGCAACGTTGTCGCACGAAACCAGGAACGGGAAAGTAGCACATTACAATGTTGAATACTAATGACA